ACTTGTGAATTCTTCTAAAACTTCTATTTTTCCTTTATGTAAAATATGAACACTTTTCTAACCAGTGAAAAACTGCCCCCTTCGTTCCCTCTTCAGCTGAAACTGGTAAGAACTAAATAGGTGCTTATAATTCTCCTAAGGCTGCACTTTCCCTGAGACTTAGCCCTACTGGACATATTGGGACTTATCTCTGAGTAAAATGCATAGGTTTGGACTGCCTGTGCCTCTCTAACTTTAAAAATTTCAACCAGGAAGATCCAATTAATTCACATTACTCAAAAGGTACCAGGTCCAAGCTGAAGACAAGACATACTTTTCTTGATCCATGGGATCTCCCTCATGTGAATTAGCAGTGCGTCATGCAGAAAAAGTATGCATGGGATCAATAGAAGTGATCCAGCAATGAAGCGAGACGTGAAACTCTCCATGTCACATGTTGGCTCTCTAGCCACTTAGGGGTAACTGCTTCACACCAACCTTTCCCCATTTTTATTGCCTCTAAGTGGGGCTACTTTGGGGGCACATCTTTAACTCTATGAACAGTTCCTGGATTGGAAACCAGTCAATACAGTGGTACCTCAGGTTAAGTACTTAATTCGTTCTGGAGGTCCATTCTTAACCTGAAACTGTTCTTAACCTGAAGCTAATGGGGCCTCCCACTGCTGCCGCGGCGCCGGAGCACGATTTCTGTTCTCATCCTGAGGTAAAGTTCTTAACCCGAGGTACTATTTCTGGGTTAGCGGAGTCTGTAACCTGAAGCATATGTAACCTGAAGCATATGTAACTCGAGGTACCACTGTATCGCAAAAGAGATTTTAAGTCTACACGTCATTTCTGCCTTTCCTATCCCTAATACCCGTTTCATTTTATGAGCTTACTTTTATACCCTCAACAATTCACTAGGAAAGACACTGTTGCCTGTAACCAAAAAAAATAAAAATGAAGCAATACCAAACAGGTAAATCTACCAAAATAGGTATGCAAAAAGCAAAACAGAACCATTTTGAAATAGTACGTTTAAGCTCGTTTAAGTGAAAGCTTTTAGCATGATTCCAACTTTCTTTCCTTTTGATGCAAAACAAGTGTAAAGTTAACCCTTTTGCTGGGAACTGAACAGTAACAAATTAAAGCAAATTTTTTTTGTAGATTCTCCCATTAAACTTAAGGCTGCAAACCTCTACACACAATCATCCTGGGAATAAGCTCCATTAAACTCAATGTGACTTCCTTCTGAGTAGGCATGCATAGGATTGCCCTGTTAGTTCCTTGTTTGTTGTAAGGATAAAAATCTCTCACACACACACACACGCACCTGACACACACACACCCCTTCAGCTAAATTTGTAGAAAACTACACATCTACTACAGGATCTAAGCTTTCACACATTCTGTTAAAAAGAGCCTAACTTAAGAAACTGCACATGTATTGTCGAGATACCTTAAGCAAGTTTTTTCATAATTCTACAGAAGTTAACCCCAAACAACAACAAAAATCCTAATAATAAGTGTGCTACTTCTGTGAATAACAAAGCTTAGCTATACTGTGTACCTGTTAAAAAATTGCCTTAAAACCATCACATGCAACATGTCCCTATTAGTTAGAATTTTGACTACAGAGGTATAATCACTGTTTCCTTAGTTACTAAATTTCATTCTCTCTATGCTAGTCACTTCCAGTCTTTCATATTTGGAATGTTTGCTTGATGGATTCACTTAATTTTCCCTCCTCTCGTTCTTATCCATTCACATTTGTCCTGGTCCCCCACCCCACCCCACAATTCTATCCACTTCAATCTTTTCAGTCTGAGACAACCCCACCCCTAACCTCCAAACATTTCTTAACATTCTTGAGTCCTTAAAACATCTTCGAGGTTGTTTTAATTAACCCTTTCCACCACCAAAGGAATTTGCTGACTTTTAAGGAATAAAATGGCCAAAAAAAATCCCCCATGTCCTTTTTCCAATGAAGTTATAACTGAAAACACACACGCCAAACACACACAGTCTTTTTAAATATATATAAATCTACACTCACGTTGCAACTCGGGAGTACTTTCTTGTAAGTAAATGCAACTTTTAACATAATGTCAAGATTAAGTAGAGATACTGCAGTCCCAGAAAGACCCAACAAGACTTCTCAAGTGCTTTACTTGTATGTAGTTCAGTTTTTCTAAGTAGGAAATCGCAAATTTACTTATCCATCTGTGCATCTCATATATTAAGAAAATGTTAACTCTGTACTTGGTATCTCAACTTGGTATTTGTTGAGCTTCATTTTTAAAAAATGTAACATCCTGCAACAGCCAATTCATTAAAAACTAGCTGAAATCATTCACAATTGTGGTGGAGATAAGCCCTTTTAGATATATCCAGGACCAACCATTTTTACAGAGGCTAGTAGCACATCCAGCACATGTTTTAATTACTATTTAAGATAGCCAGGTGGCAGAGTTTATAAATGGTAGGCATGCCATGTCAATGGCAGTGTAGATTATAATCATTCCTAGAAATCATTCCTTTCAAATCTGAGTATTTTGGGGCAACTTCTAGTAAATGAGGCTCAAGAAATAAGCCAAGCTTTATTTATTTTTAACTGTGGTTTTACTTCATTAAAAAAAATAAACTGAAAGGATACAGATCACCATGCCTCTGTTTGGCTAGAATTTTCTTCCACTTAAAAGGTGACTTTTTTAAAAAGATTTGGAGAGAAGGGGGAAACAACTCTCACAGTTATTGAGACTATGCTAATCATATTTAATTAACTAGTTGGGTATCATCCCAAACAAGAAAATCAAGTCTCGATACAAGTGAAAGAAAACACCCTAGCCCTGTAAAAATTCAAGCTAGCAGACTATACATTTTTATCAATGGAAAAGTGATCTTGTATGAAATACAGGCTCTCCTTTCTTGCCCTTAATACCTTGCCCAAAAGATTCAACATTTTTACTCTCACTTCTATAGGAAAGAAATGCAAAATCCCTGTTGGGAAACTATTAAAGTCACTTTCTCACACATCCTGAGCACAAGGTTAAAAATGTATTTTAAGGGAACCTACAAATAAAATCCTGGCATGCAACAGATGACGTCAGACCAACTTTTCTAAGGAAGACTTTGAAAACTCCAACATGGCCACTGACTATTAAGAAGGCAGATGTTTAGATGCATGGAGGTGAAAATATACCCCAGTGATAAGTCATCTGGGATCTGTTTGATTTCTCTGCCTCAAGTCTACTACCAGGTTTAATTTTTCTTCCTACTTACACCCATATAACCACAATGTGCTTTGAATTACAAAATCTTTCAAGTGATTAATTTGTATATGGTAGATTTCTTAGCATTACTTAGCAAGACTTAAAGAGAATCAGCAACTCCTCAAAATCATCAAATTTCTACACAACTGACAGGCTTTTTTGAAAGTGCTGAACAGGAAACAAGAATAATCAAGTTCCTTTTCTCTCCCTCCAACACCCAATCCCAGCTCCCAAATGTTTATTTTGCTTTGTTTCATTCTAGAATTGCCTGCCCAAAAACCTTTCTCCCAATTGTCATTTTAAACCACAGCTTCACTGTGTACCATGCCACAAAGACAGTTACAAGCACTATTGATCACCCATTACACAAGGCCCATGCCTGTTGCTACAATAAAATAAATTATCGAATAGATTTTGGAGCCTTCCAATCCAGAGGGAGCTGAGGGAAGTCATTCATAAAAAAGAAATGTTATCCTCCATCAGCACATTCTGCTACAAAGTTTGAAAGTCCAAGATATCTACACTCCCCAAAAGGAGAAAGAGAACTTGTGGTGTGAATCACAAAACAGAATATATTGAACTATATAGTAAAAACACTCACATTTAACCCCACCCCCTTTATTTTTTAAACAACTGCCTGGAAAACACAAATTCACACTGAATTCTGGTGGAACAGCGCATTATGATGTTTGTGTCTCCTAGATTTCACAGGAATGAAGAGTAACTGTAACTTTTCTCATGTGATTTTTGCTTCACCATGCCTATCCAAAACTGCCATTTTTAATCCAGGCAACCAAACCATTGTACAAGCAGAAAAGTACACATACTGAATATGTTAATACCACATTAAAGCATGATGAGATAACTACATCTCCACCAAGGTGTAAAGTTTGAGAATTATTCAGAGGGGCAGCAAATGAGAAAAAAACCAATACATTAAAGCATTAAAACAAAGCATTAAAAGGTTGCATTGCAGAGGAAAGTCTGTTCAAGTAGGTATTTATTTACAGTAAATGGCCCTGAAATTTACAGAAGAGCATCTCTGCCTCCCAATTTTCAAATTCCCTCTGAATATACTGTATTCTGATTTTCTCTCTTTTCCCCTCTGGTACTTTAAGGGGGCAATCCTATGGGCAAGATCCACCAGGATGAGCCGCTTAGGATACAGAAGACCATCTGCTCAGTCAAGCTCAAGGCCCCAACCCTGGCTCAGCTGAAGATACATCAGAGTAAGTTGCTCAGTCTGGATGAGTTGAGGCTTGTGTAAGTCTCCCCAAAAGGGGCGTGGTGGGGGTGGGACCAGAGAAAGGGGCTTAAGGCAGGATCCTAAACCCATTTGGCTCAGCCACGTGATCTGGCAATACAGTGTAAAAGCACTATTTTGAAAGTTTCCCCCTCTTTCAGAATTAAGCAGATCAGCAGCCCCACTGCTAAACAGGGTTTGGATTTGGTGTGATTTTAAGACATCTTAATTTACACCAATTTGCACCAGCTTCTTGCATAGGATTGCTCTGCAAAAGTAACTCTAGGAATTTGGATGGGGGTGTGGATCAAATTAGCCACCAATTTTGTTTTCTGCTCTCTTCAGAATAGTTTCCTTTCAAAGCAGAGATTGAAAATGCTAATACACCTAGTTTTGTCTGCACAACTCTGGGGAATTTTAAAAACACAGTTTTCTTCTTTTCCTTTAAGCAAACATGGAATTTTCTCAACATGGAAAATTTTAAAGAAATTAAACAACTGGATTACCTTTGCTTTTTAGGTACTGAGTGTTCAATCTCAAGTTGTTTTCCATGCAGCTCCACTTTGCCTAAAAACACAAGTGTCTTTTTTTAAAAAAAAAATGTACATAAGGAAACCTGGACACCATTCTCACATACAGCTCAACTTTTGCTCCCATTCCTCATATTTTAATTCAATTTATTGGGGAATTCAGATTGCCTTCACCAGAAATCCCACTGCCTTGAGAGGTGCGTTTTCCTCTGGATAAAACAAAAAACTGGATTTCAAATTGAGGGGACTAAACAATGGAAGAAACCAGTAATGGAGGTTTCCCCATGACCCTACTTTTTGCACATTCAATTCATTCCTCCTTCACATGCTGGAAGATCTATTTAATCACAGGAAAGGCAAATTTAAGATTTGCAAGGCCTCTTCCGTCGATTTATTCCACCTCAACTTGTTCGGCTGTATCTTTTTCAAAAAAATTAATAAGAAAATCCATGAAAACTGTATTCAGCTGGGAAGAAAGAACGTGAATCTAGAAAAGGATGGGGAAACTAAATTCTGATGTGTTCCTTTCGAGTAAGAGGGCAAAAGAGGTTTTTCCCCAGCAAAAAGCAACATCAGCTTTGCTTGCTAGTTCCTCTCTGCCTCTTCTCAATCTCTTAGCAGCATGGCGACCTTCGCGCTAATACACACATCACATGCCCCAGGAAAACCCAGTTTAAAATCAAAATGGCCAAAGTCCAACAACTCCCGTCTTCCCTCCCCACCTCCCACTTCCAGAGGAGCCCCTCTCCCATCCCACAAAACACCTCACACTCTTTTAAAGGACAAAAATAGAGCATTTGATCCCATGGCAAAACCCAAATGGCCTTGCAAGACGAACCACCGAGGCCGGGGGAGGGGTTGATCATGGAACCTCGATTTAAGGGAAAGGGGCTTAATATTTTGATTTGATTCCCCCCCTTTCATCTCCAGAGAGAGGGGGGCTGATTTGTGGGAGGGGGGGCGTCCAAAGACTTCCCGGGAGCAAAAGAGAAAACTGTCATTCTCGCCCTTTTTGTGTGCGCGTTTTCACGTTGCGAGGGGGTTTGCCAAATTTTACCCTTTTATAAACGACGACGGTTTAAGGGGGATCCACTATGTTAGAAGAGGAAACATTCTGGGTGGGAGGAAGGAGGAATTCAAACAAATAAAAGAATTCTGCGAGCCCTCTAGAAATCCACTGGAAGCAGATGGAGAAATCCTAGGCCCTACAAGTTGTGTATTACGCAAGACACACAAGAGACATGGTTCTCGACTCGGGGTCAGATAGACGGGGGGAAGGGGGGAGCAAAGCTGTGTGTGTGTGTGTGTGTCCCCAACTACCCCAAGTTGCGGCTGGGAGGGTAATGGGGGAGAAATACGAAACGAAAGTGAACTTTCATTGATGACACCCCAGAGGTAGAAAAGAAACAGGGCGGAAGACGCACGAGTACGCGAGAAGTGTGGCTGAACGCATCTTTGCAAAACCACATTGTGTGGATCTTGGAAAGGGAAAAGAGGGTCGCCAGAACTGGGAGCGCTAGGTAGTTACTACTGCTGCTGCTGTTGTTGTTTTTAAAAAAAGAAATGTGTTTGGATCTATAAATTTTAAAAAAAAAATCCACAAAAACACCCCAAAAAAACAAAAAAAACCTAAACCCACTACGGCCTCAGAAGGAGAGAACGGGGGGATGGGGTGGAGAAGAGACAAGAGAGATCCACTGGCTTACCAGAAAAAGTTTCGATGGCTTTCATGGCCCATTGCTCATCTGGGCAGTCGACAAAGGCGTAGCCAGATTTCACCAAGAACTGGCCACTGAAGGAGATCTTGTGGTCGTTGAAGACTTTCTCCAGATCCGCCGGAGTCACGTTCTCGTTGAGGTTCCCAATATACAGCTTGTTCATGGCTGATGCGTTTTGCACAAAATGTGGGGTAGGTCCAAAAAGGGAGGGAGTCACGGGAGGTGGGAGGGAAAATATATTATCTCACACACCGGGGTGGGGAAAGGAGGGCGATGGTAGCGGGGTGGGTGTGAAACTTTCAACAGATTCTTTTTAAAAAAAATCCTACCTCTCTTTTTTTTTCTTTGGAAAAAAAAAAGTTTCTTATTCAATCTTGTAGGCCCAGCAAGTAGGAAAAGCCTGTTATTTTGGGTGTGGGGAGGAAAGGTGGGGGTGATCTAAGAGGAAAGAGGGGGGGAAATGTTCCCTGTTTTACGGAATCAATGGGGCTGGTGGGGCTGGATGCAACTTGCTATGGCGGTCTTGGGAAAATGGCTCTTTTTTTTCCCTTTTCCAGCGGCCCCCCAACTCCTTTTGAGTCGCAGCTCATGTGTCACACTCACACACACTCACACACACCACATAGGACGTCTCTGAGGCTGAAGGCAGCCTTTGGCGCCGCCCCTAAATAAAATCGACCTGGAAAAATGAGTGAAAATGTTTGCAAGAGGAAGCCACGTGGTGGAGCCCCAAAAAGGGACCACCCCTCCGAGGGGAGGGGCGCGCACGCACCGACAGACGCGCTCATGTGCAGAGGCGCGGCAGTTTTCCATTGCTCGCCCTCTTTTTTTTTTCCTACCCCCCCCAACTGCAAATACTATTTTATTTACATTTTGCACATCTTTCCTTCCCTCCTCTTAAAAACAACAACCCGTTTTCTCCATTTCCTTGTAGAATCCAAATCTGTGTAGTAGGACCACCTCTCTCGCCTCCTCCCCACCCCACCGCTTTTGCTGGAGGGCTGCGACGAGACCCAACCCCCATCGCGACCCCCCTCTTCCCCCAGCCGGTTCTCCCACCCCTCCCCCTCGTGAGCCATGAGCTTCTTCTTAAAGAGTTTGAATGAGATTTTCTGGGTGTAAACTTAATTCAAAGGGCGCTCTGGCTCGCCCCGAGGAAAGAGGGCGGAGGAAGGAAGGAGAGCAAGCAGGCGCGCAAGCTAAGCGCGCGCGGTGCACCCGGAGCTTCGCTCTGCCCATCCGCGCGATTTGGGGATCGCCTTAGGAAGGGGGGGGGGGTTGAAGAGAAAAAAAAGGCGAAGATGACCAGATGCGATCGTGGGGGGTGGTGAGCATGGACGAGAGCCATATTGGAATTTGGTTTGTGTGAAGAGTTGGGGAGGCATTATTAGTGCAATAGTAATTGTAGAACTACTGTCGAATCCCCAACACACACACACACACACACACACACACACACACACACACAGAGATATATATATACAGTATAATAGATATATGCAGATGATAGATAGATAAGATATAAAATGGAAACGTCCTGTGGGTGGCTGTGATACCGCAGCACACGATCTTCATTTGTGCATCCCGCGGGCCAGAAAGAAAGGTTCACACGTTTGCGAATTTTAAATGTCACGTTAGCGTTTCTTAAGAAAATGTGGCGGGTGCGTTGGAAACGCACAAATCTGAATCGGGCACTTCTCCTCCTCTTGCCATCCAACTAGTGCTTCTCCTCCGCAAGCATAAAAGCGATTTAATAACCACAATAATAACCATGTATCAACCCTGTTAGAACTTTCTGAAATAATAATGATGATGATAATGTTGTGTACTGACTAGGCAGCAGCTCGCTCCAAATAGATGGAATGCAAACGCAATGCTACCCGCTCTCCTTTGCCTTGCAACTTTTCGATTAGTAGTTTTCCTCCTAAACATTTGTAGGTCTCCTGTTTTTGTTTTGGTTCGTCAATAAATACCTCACATATCAGCAAAAGGGCAAGAGGAGTTTAGGGTCTAGGAAAGGGCGAGGGCGGCTGTTGGACACGGTGCCTGCAATATTGCGCGAGCAGGCATTTGGTTCCATGAATGGACATCGGTGGGAAGCCATCGAAATTAAATATATATTTCTCCACCAACCAAAAGGGCGCCGATTGGACGGCTGCTTCCGCTTAACCCTTGTCTCGCACGAGGCAACATGTGCGCCCCGTCTCCCCCGATTCCTCTTCCTTCTTCTTTTTAAAGTCATCCTTCCATGCGCGTTCTTTTTGGGGTGGGGGAAGATCTGAATCAATTTATTGAAATAAAAGAGAGGGGGGTAAAGTTTGGTTTTATTGCCCCGATGCTCTAGTTTAAAACCCTGGAGATCTGAGGGGAACCCCCCCCTTATTTCTTAACGGCCCGATCCTACGGCACGCTTACTCGGAAGTAAGTCCCCCCTGTGCAAAACGGGGCATGGATAGCTAGCGGTGCGCCTTTGGCGAGGCGCGCGAAGTCGCCAAAATCTATTTCAGTCACTTTCTGCCAGGGATCAGCAGCCGAAGGATGGTTTCCTGAGCAGGGAGTGGGGGACAAAGGGGAAGATGGTGGCTCGCAGCCCTTTCCCACCCGCCTCCCCCTCACTTTTAATGCCTCCTTTCCAGAGGAGGAGGGGGGTGAAATTAAAGGGGGGTGTGTGTGTGCGTAATAGCCAAGTTGGCTGTGAAGAGGCGCCAATTGTCCCTCTGCAACCCTGGTCCCTGCCATTATCCAGGAGGGATGGGGGGCGGAAGGTGGTTGTGGTGGGGGGAGGAATCTTTAAAGCATGCCAGTCACAACCCACCAATCCAAGGGAGCTCTGGGGGGCGGAGGAGGGGGTGGGAGGGAAATGGCAAGGTGGGGGATGGGGCGGGAGAGGTGGTCTCGCCGGAATGTGCTGGCCCTTTAAATGGCTGCTGGGGGAGTGTCCGCGTGTGCATGGCCAAAAAAAAAAAAGGAAGAAAGAGAAAAGAAAAGCCGGCTGGAGCAGAACTATTTCGTTCGGAAGCTTGCATTGCACAGAGTTGTGAATGGAAGGATCTGAGTTATCAGCATCATCAGGTTTCTGATTCCTCTCCCCCCCCCCCCGTTTTTCTTTTCTTAAGAACAAACATTCCTTTAAAATGCACATATCACAAACGTGAAGTGAGTGGGAAAGATCGATTCTCCTGATCGAACGAGAAATGTGAGGCACGCCACCACTGCTAAAATTAAATTCTGCTCTAGAAAAATAGGTACTTAGCCATTTAAGTGGGGGAAATGGTAGTCGCTGGACTTTGATCTTTTTAAAACATTCCGGAGATACATTATTAGCAAGACCCACGTTGTGTGTAAATAGAAGCATAATCCCCTAAATGCCACGTGTTTTCCTTGCACGGAGATCTTCCGTAGCCATTTATTTGTTTTTGAGCCTTTAAGAAAGTCAGAGTGACCTACCAGATCAGGTTTCGATTGCAGCCCAGGTCATGTGCTTAAAATGAAAACCCTTCTTTGATTAGTTTTAAAAAGAACAAACAAACAAAATTGTTCCAAGGCTTGGAGATAAAGATATATTAAGAAATATTTAAACTTTTTCTCTTGGGGGTTATTGTTCGATGGATAGATGCACTTTTTCTGTCCTTAACTAGTATAGATATTTATGAATGAGAATCCAATGCTAGAAGAGAACAATTTTGCAACTTCCCTAAAAACATTTATTTCTACAATTGTTTTACTTCAGAAATGTCTATGAACATGCAAATATTAAAGATTGTTTGGAGAAATATTGAAAACTAGCAACTTTCTCAACCCAATTAAAAATATATAATAGAATGAAGTTTATATATTCTCTTGGCTCTAGTAGGCAGACCCTTTTAAATGCACATTACAGCATGAAAACACGGAGATCCTATCTTTGAAATAACTACTAAAACCAGCCTTACCCTCCTGATTAAAATCTCAAATATTTTTCTATCATTCATTGTTCCCTCCCTTTAAAGAACAGTTGCTTGTAATCAAGAGGAATTTTATCTACATGCCTGTTGGTTCTTTCAACTGCATAATCTAAGATATCTTTAATTGCTTTTGTCAAACACAAGTTACTAATCTGTATTTAAAAAATACACACCAGATTTTAAATGTACAGACAAAAAAAGTACACACTAGAAGAATACATATCCTAATTTAAAATAAAAGTCATTTATACATTCTCATTTAATATTCTTGATTGTTTTGGTTTATCTTAATGTGTGTGCACCATGCATTTATTCTGAAGTCATTGCATATATTATGAAGTCAGAGTAAACAGCCTTAAAACAATCTTAACATTTTGACCCAAATGTGTAAAACTGTTTCTTAAAAATTAAAAAATTAAAATCCATATATAGATGCCAATTGCAAAAGCTTATGCTGCAATAAATTTGCTGACCTTTTAAGATGCCTAAATACTTATTTTTTCCAACCAAAGAAGAAAGACTTCAGTTTTGAAGGGGGAAAAATCAATGTCTCCTCCAAATACATGATATAGGGAATGCTCAGAGAAGAGGCAGCTAAAGCATTTTCGAGGAGAGTCAATCTGTAGTCATTCAGTGCAAAAAAGTAGCACAGAAAAACTGGTGGAGGCTTAAAATTTGATCTCTGCATTTTTAGTGAATTAATATCCCTCCTCCCCTTTCCTTTAATCTCCCCCCCCCCACTTCCTTAAAGAGCAATGTTGCCACTAACTGAACCAGAACTCCAGTTTTGGATACTACAACCAATAAACAGATTTCACTCTTGTCCTCAGTTTAATTCAGGGTTTCCTCTATTCCTTTCATAGTTATTTTAACTTGGTTACATTACTGAAAGTCCCTCTAGACAGCTGAAAGAGAATAGTCCATTTAAATGAAAATGCCTTCAAGTGGAAAACCCTGAGTGATTTTTCTACTGAAGTTATTATTTTGAACCATTTTCCATTAGGATGTTTTCTTTCCTGGTTTCTTTTTATATCTATTCGTAATACCATCTCTCCATGTTGTCCCCATTGGTTTTCAGGTGTCAACAACTTATTTCCATATTTCATAAACATGGCATGGCTGTTATTATCAAAACTGTTTTCTCACCACCTTCACAATAAGCCATTAGGAGTTTGTCATAACAATGGGAAAAGGTGCAAATTTATTACAAATCAGATATTCTGATTCCTCCTCACCACTATGAGCTGAATAAAGAGCATGAAATCACACAAAAAAACACAAATCAGATATTCCTGCTTATATTTTAGCTACCTTTAACGGATTTTCCAAAGATCTCTTAATTTCTAGCACATTGCTTTCAGTTCTACTGTTTTGAAATTGACCCACTGGAAGGTATAAATTCATCAACATTTTATAAAAGTAACTTTCTAATTACAAAACATTTGCTGTGAGTTTGAGGAAAACATGTACACTGCATTAAAATACCCATTATATACAACATAGTATTTTTTGCTCTAATGAGGCATTTAAGCTCTAACATACCTTAATCTTAATTTGATTACAAACTGAATTTCAACAATTCAGATATAAAACAAGAAAAGGAAGTGTTTTTATTAGGAAATGCTTCACAAAGACATTTTGTTTTACATTCGGCATGGAACACAAGGAGTTAATGCTTGGAATTTGCAGAATTACATCACTTGATTCTAG